AGGGGAGAGAAGAAAAATGAAACCAGATCACATTCAAAGGACCAATAATCAAAATGGCTTTATACTTCTCAAAAGCTATTAACAAGAGAAAGAAGCAATATTTTTAAAATTCTGAAAGAACATGATCTCTAGATTCTATGCCTAGAATTCTATGCCCAAACTATCAAGCAAATATAAGGTTAGAGATTATTTTCAGACAAGCAAAAATTCAAAAAACTGATCTTCCATGTACTCTCACTGGGGAGATGCTGCTATAATAAAATCAGTAAACCAAGAAAGACAACAGCAGAAGCCAAACCACCACAAAGATGAATGTCAACTGTGCACTAGCAATAAAAGGCTACAACCAAAGTGGAACAAAACAGAGGTTCCAGATTGAAACTGACAGAATAGCTAATGCATCTAAATGCACTGAAAGCTGGTAAATATTTAAGGGTTTGGGGCTAAATTACTGATAATACATAAAAAACTAAGGAAACAAAAACATAAGACATACTGAACTTCAGTGAAAGTTTTGCAATTAAAAAAAAAATAGTCATAGCAAATGGCATAGCAAATGGCATAGCAAATATCATGCTCGATACTTCTCTAACCAAAATTGTAAGTATACTGGGAGGCAGGAAAATGGAAACATGAACAGTGGGATGAGAAAGTAATAAATGCTCATCTTAAATAATGGGAGATAATGCCTAAATATAGGTAATGCTGAAAATTGAAAAAAAATCAAGAAGTAACAATATAAGGCTGTTATTTACAGATATGAAGATAAACAGCACAAGAATGAGCTAACAATGAAAGGTATTCACTTATATGACAGGGCTGTGAAAACTGGTTATCTTTTATAACAAGTCTTATTTTGATTCTTTTAACTATAAGGATATATACCCAATATTTTTAAAATGAATAAAAATGATAGTTGCATTAATTTTAATATCCTGAGATAGGGTCTCTCAGCCATTAAGCTTTCTAGGTGATTCCAAGGTGCAGTCGAGTTGAGAACCACTGATTTAGGAGCATTCTCTAGCATATAACCTTTTTACACTGATAAGAAAACTAAATCCAAAGTCATTTAGTGACTGAGCAAATTCCAACTAAAAAAATAAACAAGCATATATTTTTAGTAATTTAAGGCCATAGAAACAATTTTAAAATCCCAAGGAGTAAATAAATCAAAGTATACAGCCAGGGAAGACCATATCACATATACATATTATTTAATCAAGTGTCAAACAGGACTTATGAAATGAACTACCGATCCTAATAACCCAAAATGTGGCACAGTGGCAAAAACCTTCATCTCAGATTGACAAAAGTTAGAGATCTGAATGTATGCTCTTCTTACCCTATCATATTATAAAAGGAAAAATACAATTGCCAATTTGGAGCTTCTAACAAGGAAATAAGGAAAGAATAAGCCACAGCAGGAATGACACACTTCTTTTCTTCTTTGACATATTCATATGGTGATACTCATGGGCGTAATACATTCTCATGGGCATAACCAAAATTTTATTAAAGGATATAATATGAAGCAAGGTTATACTCAAATCCCAGTACAAAGTATTATAATCCCACTCTCATTCTTTCCCAGTGATGGTAAAACAGTCCCAGGACTGACTGATAAGAAGTCTCCAGAACTTTAACACCCCTATAAATTTGAAAATGTTATTATTTTAAATTTAAAAAAGCTGACAATATATATATTGCCCGCTAAGTACTCAAATTGTATGTGGCAAGAAAATGTGTTTTCCTTTAAAAGATACAAGAGGGCATTATTTGGATAAAGTACTTATTTATAATAATTTACTACTTTTCTTCACATCCTAACATATGACACCCCTACAATTTTCTGTCTAAATATTTTAAAAATCAAAACAAAAATTTAAAAAACAAATCTAATTCTGTTTTACCTGTGATGTACCATCCTTATGTTCCTGGAACCTTTCAGCTATATAAATGTTGTAAGCTGAGCGAGGTCTTTTCGGTTTTCCAAGCATTGTTAACTCCTGAGTAACAAAAATGGAAGAGTTAGATATAGTTTTAACTTCTGTAAGACTTTACCTACAGAAACTTTATTCACTACTATGCATTACAGGAAGTTCCTATAAGTGAATGTTATGATTCTTTGTATATACAAAATGACTACTCACTCGGGATCAGAATTATTTTTGTGATAGCACTAAGTTTTGAAAATTGTAAAAGGTTTTAGGAGTTATTTTCCATATAAAAACTTTTCCCTTACATATTATTTTCATGGTCTCCATGAAGTGAATAACTGAGCACTTAGGTACAAAATCTTTTTTAAAGGTTAAAACAATTTCAGTTTCATCCTTCCAGAACACTACCATCTCCCAGCCACTATATGCCTCTACCACAACTCATAAACACTAGAGTATCTGTTTAATAATCTCTCATTTCATTTCCTTCCTTGGTATCTCTCAACTTTTAAACTTCAACAGATGTGTTAAATTCAATTCTTTTCACTAGGTACCAAAGGACAGAGGAGGCAAGAAATAGCAAATACAGGGGCGCCTGGGTGGCGCAGTCGGTTAAGCGTCCGACTTCAGCCAGGTCACGATCT